AACTAATCCACTCCTGGATAACTACCTCATGATAACCAGCCCATCCCCAGGATTCATGTATCAGACTGGACCGCTTGTGGCCTATTCCTTCCCTGAAGTACCTACTTCTTAATATTGTGGCAATTACATTTCAAGGCAATATTCAAGCCAATAGCACTGTTCAAAATTCAACGTATGAAGTTGAAAGGTTCCATAACAAGACTTCCATGTAATTCCCAGTCTCGGTTGCTATCTGTATCTTGTTCCATGTCCTTCTGCCATGTTAGGGCTCAAGAGCTTACAGAAACTACATGGAAGGTTTGAAGTTAGAATCATCTATCAGATTTATTGTTATTATTATTACTATTATTATTATTATTTGAAGAGTTACCATTTTGAAAGGATGTCCCAGAAGTGATGAGTGGTAGGTTCTGAAAGAGAAAAATTAAAATGGAAGGGAAATGAAAAAAACACTATAGAGATTCCTCCAAAAAATTCATGTTTTAGGAAATTACAGTAAAACAGAGGATACAATTTAATCTCATTGTTCCACCAGAATAATTTAACCTTTTGGTCACTGTATATTTTATACTTTAATGCATATTTTAATTTACTAATTAGATTGTATTAAAACTAAGCCATTGACCCCAACTTTGGGCATTCAACATTGGACTGTTTGAGTTTTCTCTATCTCCTCAGAACTCTTATGAGTGCTTTAAAATGTGCACACTATTCCATCAGATATATAATGAGTGACTTTGACCTCTTACTGTCAAACATGTAGGTCTTGCTGTTATTTGACCTATACTCTGCTAACTCGGTAAATGGCTTACTCATAATTCTGACATAATTCAACTGAAGACAATAGAAAGTTTTTTAAAATAACATTTTTAACTTTTTTTTGAAAATTTCATGCATTCATACAATGTATTTCTGATCATACCCATCCCCCACTACCTCTCTAGACAATTCATTTATTAGTTAATTGAAAGACAGATAGCCCTATCCCAATTCAATACTTCCAGCATTATTCACTCTACTGTTAATTAATAGTTATTGTGCTATCTAAAAGTTATTCTTCATAGAATTGTTTAGGTAGGTCACAGTGGATTCTCCAGCCAATACTTTTTTTTTTTGTTAACGCTTCCTTGTAAATCTGAAATGTTGATAAACAAATAGAACTTTCTGCAGCAGAGGGAATGTTCATTATCTGAGCTGCCCAGGAGGACAGCAAACAGCCACGTGACTGGTGCATATCTGAGAAGCTGCTAATACAACTGAGGAGCAGAAATTTTAAGTTCGCTTGCCTTAAATTCACATTTCAGTAGCTTCACGTGGCTGGTGGCTGCTTTTCCAGGTACTGTAGGTCAGTGATGGCCACCAAACTTCTTCAGTAGGCATGCCTTCTGAGTGCCTTACATGTCAGTGTTGTTAATCCTATCAGTGACTTCATGGGGTAGAGCTTCTGCTTGCTGTTGCTACATAACAAATTACCTACAGCTTAGTGTCCCAAAACATGCATTGATTGGTGTAAGGAGCTACAGTCTGGGCAGTGTTCATGTGGACAGCTCATCTTGGCTCAGTGCATCATCCCAGCATCCTCTGGCTGCAGGGTCCAGTGCCAAGCCAGCTTGTTTACTGGGGGCAAGTCAATGCCTGCTGGCGCTCTCTCTACGCAGATAGGTTGGGCTTCTGTATAGTATGCGCTGGGTGCCAAGGGCAAATGCCTAACGATACAGGAAGTAGGAGGTCAGTTCCTTGAGGGTTGCGGTCTAGACACTGATAGTGTACCAACTCCCAACAAATTCAGTATCAGAGGTAAGAATTTTAAGGAGAGGAGTTGGTGGCTGTACCTGCCAGTGAGGGCCTCATCTATAATACGGGGCTGTGCTTTAAAGTTGAGGGCGCAATCAGCACTTTGCTTGTTTTGAGACAGACTCCCTCTGGCCTTGGGCTTAAATCCTTGTGTCTCTGTCTTCTCAGTGCTAGGATTACAGGTGTGTGCCACCATGCTCCTGCTCAGCTACGGTCACTTTGATTGCATTTTATGGATGAGGAAACCAAGCATTGAACATTTACATTTTGCTTACCAAAAATGAGATTTCTCCCATGTGGCTGAGCTGTTGCATCTTCCAGACAGCCTGAGATTTTAACTTCAGTTCTTTATTGTATCTCTAGAATTGCAAGGCTCACAAATTTAGATTCATATCATCTGTTGTTTTTCATTGTACAGTAATTAAGTACATGATTATTGTTTGCATATCACACATCTCTGAACATATAGCGAGGGTTTACCAGATGTACGATGAGGACACAGGCTGTGCCACCTGATTCAGCATTCAGAGATGCTTTGTGACACCAGCTCTGAGCCCCATCGCTCTCCTCCCTGCTTCCCAACTGTTAATTGATCTTCACCTTCTGACTGAAACAGGCAGTGGCTCTGAGGAAAGCTGTTTGGTTTTCGGATGTTCCTGTGACATGAAATGAGTGCTGGAAGAAGGGAGGGAGGGAGGGAGGGAGGTTACCCTACTGAATCTTTTAGACAGCAGTATTTGTGTGTCTAACTATAAGAAGAACAGTAAAGAAAAAAGTGAATTTAAAAATTTTACTATAATGTGTGAGGTCTCTATTATATGTATTTTATGAAAAGTCAGGTGCAATGTGTGTATCTGTGTGTTTGAATGAGAAGGAAAAAATAATGCTATCTTAAATTCTAGACGTGGCCTGACAAAGTAATGAATGCATCCATTTACAAACTAAAGAAACTGGCAATTTCCTTTACTGCTCAAAGATAATGGATTTTTTTCCATGTGAGAAAGAAGTAGCCCTTTGTGTCATGGGCTCCAGTTTGCAAACTTATGCTTCACTTTGATACTGTTGCCTGTGGTTATGGCCTGTGCCGGTTTCCTATCAGGAGTAAATATGGCCACACAACACTCATCCTTTCCGACCAGCGTGTTCTTGAGAATGCTGTCCTGATTTGGGTTTCTTTTGCAGGGCAGGTGGCACTTTCTGTGTTGGAAGTTTCATTTTTATCACATTAGAATCCAAGTCGAGACCTCATCTCAGCCAAATGCTTAGTTTTCTTTTACTTTGTGAACACCTTACCTCCTCCTTTCATTTGCTACTTATTTTTCTGTGGCATTATCCAACCAGAGTAGCAGGGACAGAGGCAAAGCTCCACTGTTACTGGTAGCATCCTCAATTCCCTTAATCTTTTAGGTACCCCAACTCCGGTAAAATTATCTTGGCTTTAACACAGAAAAGAATTTCAGGACAAGCAGATATGAAGCAGAGGCAGAGTTTATTAGAAGACCTTTAAACAGATTTTAAACAGGAGAGATTCTCGAAAGAAAGTAACATACAGGAAAGTACGGGTATGGGCTTCTTACAGGTCTCCGTTTGTTTTTACAAGAGACACAGACCTCCTGGGTGGGGTTTGAACTATTATCTTCAGAGGGTTGCACAGGAGGTTCCTCAGGGAGGAGTGGTGTGGACAGGCTTATAGTTATTAAGGCAAAACTGTAGATCTTTGGCTACCCGAAGATAAGAGGACTCACTGTGTGGACTTCATAGTCTTGTTTGAGGACCCCAGACAATATGAGGGGTATGAGGAGTAGGATCATATGCCTTTGGGCCCCCAAGTCTGGTTATTTCAAAATTCTTTGTTATTTCAAAATAAAATTAGTCATCTCTCCATCCACCCACCCACCCACCCACCCATCCACCCATCCACCCACCCACCCACCCACCCACCCACCCACCCATCCATCCATCCATCCATCCACCCACCCACCCACCCACCCACCCACCCACCCACCCACCCACCCATCCATCCATCCATCCATCCACCCACCCATCCATCCATTCGTGAGAATGTCAGCAGCCTACATAGCAATTGTTAGTTGTGCTGTAGTTGTTGCCTCTCTGGGTAGAGGCTTCAGTCAGCCTCTGGAGTGAAGGGCTCCGTTCCTCTCCATGTTCTCATAGTTTTCTCCATCTGTCCCACAGGTTTCTCTGTTTCTTCTTTCCTAGCCACTTGTCATGATGGGGTGGCTCTGTCTTACGTTCTAGAGGCCATATACAGCTCTTTTCAGGCTGCCTCTGGGATAAGTCCATGTGATAGATCTTTTTTTTTTCCAAACCATACCCTCGCCCACAGCTGCCTTTTTCTTGTGGACAGGTCCCTAGTACTGTTCTGTCTCAGTGCACATGAGTTCCTTCCATGTGACGTGATCTGGATGCCTACCCCGCTGCTACCTTACCAGCTCCCAGATGGGAATGGGCTAGTGTCCTCATGCCTCTTGTCCCAGCTCCCAGCAGCAGCTCTCCACACAGCAGGCACACAGAACATGTTGTTTATTGAGGTCATTGAACGAAGATGCGCAGGCTTCCATGTTCCTGGTCGTGGTCCCCCACTTCTTTGTGCTCTAGCCATCTTAGTTCACTAAATCCTTCTAGAACATCAGCCACATGAGAACAAGATGGTTGTCTGTCTGACTTGGTGTGATGCACTTGCATCCCTGGGAAGTGCTTGACATGAGGGCGAGCATTTGCTGCTGCAGAAACCCTCGTTTGTGTTTGACACACACTGATTGATTTCATCTTCATAGAAAGATGTGCAGGTGCTGTTAGGAGCTCCTTTCATAAGAAGCAGAGACATTTGGTTGTTAGATAATTGTTCCTTGTCAGAGTGCTGCTAAAAGGTGGAGCTGGGCATTCCTCACGCATAACTGCTAAGTACTGTGCTGTAATACCCCCTTAACACTTGCATATGTGTTCTGTGAGGGGCACTCTCCTAAAACCCTGTGCCATTGACCTCCTGTGTTGTAGAGGTCTCATAACAGGAGCTGGTTTTTGGACTGTTTCAGCTCTAGCCTGGAGTTTACCCTGTGTCCCGTGCATCAAGACCCCCAGACCTGTGTATAGCCTGCAGCTCTCACAGCATACACCATTTAATGGAAATGTTTCCCAGGGGTCATCACAAACATCTAACATGCGGTTCACGTCCCTTTCTGTAGACAACAGTGGCAGCCACACGTTACACTCCAGAGCAGAGACGACTCCGTCGTCACCCACCAGCAACACTGGGAATGGGCACCCGGAATATATTGCGTACGTGCTTGTCCCTGTGTTCTTCATCATGGGTCTCCTTGGTGTCCTCATCTGCCACTTGCTTAAGAAGAAAGGCTATCGGTGTACGACAGAGGCTGAGCAGGAAGTTGAAGAGGAAAAGGTGGAAAAGATAGGTAAGTAACCTTTGCTTTTTATTTTTAAGTAGGTTGAGGAACAGCTACTAAATAAAAAAATCTTCCTATGTAATTCACTTTTTAAAATGAGGAAATTGTGTATTTTCCACAGTAATCAGAGTTTGAACCTTTGCCTACATTTACTGAATACTTCCTGAGTGTTTCCTTCAGAGCCTGGTAGCCCTGGGCCTGTAAGCCTTGCTGTGGATATTTATTTCTAATTGAATTGACATTTACTTTAATGAGGATGATCTCCACCTTGAAGGATTATTGTGAAATTTCCAGACAAGGTGTTTTGGTGGTTGGCGCTTACGGCCACTCATAAACCTTAATCCTTGCTGCTACTTATTGAGTAAGATTCTAATAAGAGTGGCAGGAATGTGTAACCAGACTCATCAGGTTTGCGGTGTTAGTGTTATGGGGGAGTTCTGGTAAAAATGTGCGTGACTGGGCTTTATCTTATGAAGTGAATGCATGTCATTGTAGTGCAGTAGAGTTGCAGCAAGAACTGGCGTTTCCATGTGAACGGCAGGGCGGCTCCTCTGCGTGTGCGTTGATAGGTTAAGTGTTGGGATAAACCTCACAGCACCTGTTTTCCTCACTGATATTCTCTTCAGTCATGCCTTAGAGAGGTTTCTGTTGGATCTGGGCTGGGGGTGTGCAAATAACGGGGACAGATGTCTATGAAATCAGAAGCAAACTTTATTACCCCCCCTCTGCAAAAAGTCATAGCGGGGCACAAAAAGCTTACCAGTTAACTGGGACCACATCTGGAGTTCAGGCTTCTGAACCTGGCAATGGGGGCAGGTTAGGGCCCTCTTTTTATAGTATGGAATAGGCATGGACAAAGGAATTTTTAGTTTCGAGGTTAAGCCTGGAGACATTTGTGTCTTGCAATTCCCACTATCAAGGTTTCGGCTGCGTTAGTGTTTGTGTTAGCCTGCCGCTTCTCCTTGCACCTCTGCGCTTTCCTGACATTGCCGGTTTTCTATACGAAACAGCGCAAAGACGAAAGTCACGTAGGGGCATTTGGTTAAAGCTTATGGGATAGGGGTCTCGTACAAACCTTTATTAAAAGTTAATTTTGGCCTGGCGGTGGTGGCGCATGCCTTTAGTCCCAGCACTTGGAAGGCAGAGGCAGGCGGATCTCTGTCTACAAGAGCTAGCTCAGGACAACCTCCAAAGCCACAGAGAAACCCTGTCTTGAAAAGCAAAAACAAAAAAAAAGTTAACTTTGGTCCACAGCAATTGTTAATTGTAAGTGGCAGGGGGGTTATGTCAAAAAACTAACCCCTAGCTGCAGAGAGCCACTGTAAAAAGCTAACCTTTGGTGCCAGCTGTAAAGCAAGGAAAACCCATTGTTAAAAGCTAATCCCTAGTTACTGACAGGGCTCGTGACCGTCAGCTCCCATTTCTTTTAGGCTACAAATTCATATTTCTATATTTCTGCATTCCTGTTCCTGGATCCTCCATTTTTATATTCCTATTCCAGATCCTTCAGTTTCCAAGGGCTAGCAGATCACTCTCTACATCTGCTTCAGCCCCTCTCTGTGTCTCTGCAGAGAGGTCACCCGCAGGAGCATACCCTCAGGGCCCTTGGGGAAGGTTTCTCAGTCCTTGCCAGCTCGCTGGACTGTTGACTTTTCCACCCCCACTGACCTTTGAGGCTGAGGATCAGGGGTGAGCATGATGAGTCACACATAACGAATGAGCAATTCAGCCCCGAGTGTTTGTCAACAGAGCAGAACTAATGGAGGCTGGCTCAGCCATCAGCTTCCACTTTAACTGTCCAGACGTCCCTGGGCCGTGGGGGAGAAGCTTCCATGGGGTTCAGGGGGCATTCTTGCAGGTACATGGGTGTGTCATTATTCTGCTCCATGCGTCTTCCCAAGTAGGATGCAGTGTCTCATCCAGCCTCTCTTTCCTGTCCTGCTAAGTAAATTATACAGATCAGTTTCCAACTGGAGGTTTGGTCTCCTCCTGCCTGCTGGCACATGTACTACTGGCACTGGGTTCTCAAAGTAAACTGAGTTTGTAAACAAGTAACTAGTGCCCAAATTTAGGTACCTTGTTTAAAAGGAAACGAACGTTTTATAAACATGGATGAACACTTACTAATTCAGCTGAAAACACAAGTCAGTAGTAGACCAACTTTAGACAGCGTGTCGGCAATTAGATAAAACCTGAGGAAAATGGTATTTCTTTTAATTATCCTTCTTCTTGTTTCCCCTGAGGGTTTAAGGTAATAAGGAGAGATAAGAGTAGCAGGGACAGATATAAAAGCATCACTGTATTGTCAAAGTGAGTGGATATTTGATCCTGAGAGATTGATGGACTGCCCTGAGCCTTTTTCTTTTAATTTTGAAATGTGTGTTCTGCCAAGGAACTCAAAACTGTGACATTGGGAGGATGGGGCTGAAGGACCAAAGCCAGAGTCTTAGCACTGTGTGAGGGTGCTTGAGCTTTCTGGAAGTTCAGTGAGGTCTTGGGCTCTAAGATGAATGTCTACTTGACTTGTTGCTGGTGACATTTATAACAACGTCCTGTCCTTTTTCTCTTTTAGAGTTGAATGACAGTATAAATGAAAATAGTGACACCGTTGGGCAAATTGTTCACTACATCATGAAGAATGAAGGTAGGAATGTGTTCATGTTTCAGGGCATTTCAGCCTTATTAAAAATCTAGAGTTAGAATTTGAATTGCTTCTCGCTACTTTTATCTGAGCTCTGTAATACCTCAGCTTTTAGCATTGTCCCAACAGGAGTTTGCCTCTCCAAGTGTTTGGTGACTTCAACATTGCAGAAGGCCAGCTGGTGAAACCCTGCCTCAACATGTCTAGGCTGTGTGTCACATGGCTTTTTATAGCCTCAGTGTCTTCCTGTAGTGAGAGTCACACTCATATGTGCTCCACAGCACTGTGTGGAATAGCACACGTGTAGTGCTTGATGTCATGTCTATTCACGTCTTACCTATCTCTTGTTTTTCACACTCAAACATTGTGAAATCTATAAAACATAAAAATTTACTATTTTAGGGGACTGGGGTGATGGCTCAGTGGGTAAGTGCTTGTTTTACAAACTGAGACATAAATTTGATCCCCAGCACCCAGGTAAGAACTGGGGAGTGACAGTGAGTTCCTGTAGCACCAGTGTTGGGCTGATGGATACTGCAGGGTCCTGGAGTGCCCTGACTGGGCGGGTTAGCCAATTGGTGAGCTCCAGGCTCAGCGAGAGAACCTGTCTCCAAATAAGAGGAACGTGATTGGGGAAGACACCCATGTTGACTTCTGGCCTCCACATGTGCACACATGTACATGCACTCTCCCACATACCACACACTTGTGCACACAGATACTCTACATGTGCACACATGTACATGCACTCTCCCACATACCACACATTCGTGCACACACATACTCCACGTGTGCACACATGTACATGCACTCCCACATACCACACACTCAATGCACACAACACACATACTCCACATGTGCACACGTATACATGCACACACATACTCCATGTGTGCACACATGTACATGCACTCTCTCACATACCACACATTCATGCACACACATACTCCACGTGTACATGCATTCTCCCACATAACACACACTCATGCATACACATACTCCACGTGTGCACACGTATACATGCATTCTCCCACATACCACACACTCAATGCACACACATACTCCACGTGTGCACACATGTACACGCACTCCCACATACCACACACTCAATGCACACAACACACATACTTCACATGTGCACACATGTACATACATTCTCCCACATACCATACACTCGTGCACATGCACATGCTCATGCACACCTTCACCCCCCCCCATTTTTACTAGTTTAACTATTTGGAAAGGGAGAACTCAGGAGCATCCGTGTCCATTCTGAGTGCTACACAGGCATCACTAGTGTTCCAGGACTTCCTAAATATCCCACACTGAAACACACATGTTTCTCTCCCTGTTCCTTCCTCCCTAAACTGCTTGCAAACGCTACTTTGCTCTCTGCCTCTATGGTTTGTGTCTTCTAGGAAGAGCTTAAGCATTAGGTCTTAAGTGCTCTTTTTTCACTTGGTTTTTTAAGATAGGGTCTCACGTAGTTCAGCCTGTCTTTGAACTCAATATATAGCTAAAGGATGGTCTTGAATCCCTGGTCATCCCTCCCCTACCTCATAAATGCTGGGGTTATGGACATATGCCAGTATGCTTTAAGTCAATTTTCTCTTTTTTTGTTTTTTGCTTTTTAATTTACTTTTTACATTCCAATCCCAGTTCCCCCTCGCACTCTCTCCACTCCCCTACCTCCCCCAACCTCCCATCTGTTCCTTGGAGAAGGTGAGGCCTCCCCTAGGAAGTCTAAGTCTATCCCATTAAGTCAACTTTTAAAGTGAAGAATTCAATTGTTATTAAATAGGTTAGGATCATTGTTCTGAATGCTGGTGGTTATCTTAGTAGGATAATGTTTTCTGTTGCTATAACTGAGCACCACAAGCTTGATATTTTATAAAGAACAGAAGCTAATTAGCTCCCTGTTCTTTCTAGAGGCTAGCAAATCTAAGCATGGGGCCAGCATCGCTGCATTCTGACCTGGGGACATGACAGGACAGAGCAGTCATGCCAAAAAGAACTGGCCTGTATGACAAAGCCACTCCCTCAGTAATCCGTGAATCCAAGAACCCGTGAGTAGATGGTGTATTCATTAGGGTAGAGCCCTCCTGACCCAGTCACCCCGAGGCCCCACCTCCAAATGCCATCAGTATGACTTTGGGGGATAATATTCCCAGCACATGAATGAATTTTAAGCCACACCCCAACCAGAGCAGATTCTTTGCTCTTAGTAATTTTTAAGGTCTGTGGCACTCCTTGCCCCTTTGCTGATGTGCTACAGTGGGTGCTTCCATCAGCAAGTGCCACACATCAGCCCTTCTCGCCTCCCCTTCCCCCCCCCCCCACTATTCAGTAAGAGCCCCCAGCTGGTCCAGCCTAATTTTCACCTGTTTTCCGGCTGGGCTTTGTGTCTTTGGCTTAGGTCTAGTAGTTTGCTATTGGCTCTCGCCTAATTCTCAACACATCTGTGTAAAGTTGGTGCTTATGCAATGTACAGGTGGATAAAGGGACGCTCCAAGGGTTTAGGTTTGAGTGGTTAGTGCCTTCTGCCTAGTTCCGACTATAGAGCCCTTCCAGCCGTGGAAAGCTGTCTCTCTTTACAGTTTTGGTAGTCGGCAACAAATGAACAAATTTAGTAGAATGTTTTTTAATTATTATTAGAATAATAACAGAAAGACAAGAATACTTGGATTTGGGTCTGTCTCCCGAGGCTTCCCATCAGGGCATAGGATTTGGCAATACTAGCACACTGGTTTATAATCTAGTACTTTTTCATGTTGACTCTGAGGGTAAATTCTCAACTATATGGAACAAGCTTATTGTTACCCCAGCTTATTATCTATTGTTAGTATAACTTCAAACTTTATTTCCAAAACTGACACTCTATATTTATAAATTATACTCCAGACTTTTCTTAAGAAATTAAAAAGAAATAAAATGAAGCGTACTCTTTCCGTTAATGTTTTCCCATGGTTATTTACCTCTGTGCTACGTAATTTTAAACGTTAGCGGTATTGATATATGAGCAGTTTTCTGTTCCTCACTTACACACTAAGAATCTGAGAATTCCCACAGTCCCCTCCTCAGGCTTGCCTGTTTGCTAGAATGGCTCACAGAACTTGGGATATACTGTTACATTTAGCGATTTGTTAAAAAGATACAACCCAGGAGCAAAGGGATGGAAGAGAGGCACAGAGGCTTGGGGCGGGGTATTGGGAGCTGGGCCTGAAAGTTGCCATCCTCTAATCACTGCCTTTCCGATTACCAGCCCAGACTGAGTCACCTCAGTACCATAACCTGGGACTCAGGTGTGATCAAGCAGCTCATTATGAATAACAAAAGACACTCCTATTTGACTCAGGAAATTTCACTCAGAAAATTCTCAGGGTTTTAGAAACTCTGACACACCCACACACAGATCAGTTTTTTTACTAAGTAACCCTAGAGCTGTCTCTTAACTTATCTTCCCTGTAGAGCCAAGCTGAGCAGTGTGTGTGCGGACAGTGGGGTTTTCGTGAGTTGTATATTAGTCTGGAGAGCATTAAGGACTAAAAAATGACTGGACATTTTATTCAACAGGCACACATCAGTTGTAGGGAATTGTTTCCTCAGGTAACTTTAAACAAAGGAGACTTTGAATGCCTAACACTATAAATTCTATGACAGCAGCACTGGTGTCATTCCCTTTGTTTTTTTTTTGTCATTAAAGTTTGGTAAATGATGACAAAGTACAAACTGGCCATTTACGTGTATTGTATGTAAGCCGTACACAAGATTATGTACCTCTGTTAGATCAGCTTGTTATTTGTAAGGAAACCTACAAAGCCAGTGCTCTTTAAAGGAAGAGTGTTGCTGTAGCTCACAGTCTGGAGGATGGAAGTCTAGGAACAGGCAGCCTCATTGATTTGACTCTGCGAGGGTCCACTTGGCTGCATCACATCTTAGTGGATGGCAGCTTGTTGGAGCCATAGGGAAAAGGAAGAGAACACACAGTAACCAGGAAGCCAGAGAGAACCTTCCTCCTTGTGCAGGGAGGCTGGGACTCAAGTCCAGGGACGTGGGCATGCTAAGCACATGCTCTGCCACTGAGCTACGCCCCCAGCCCTTTCAGTTTTATCCCAGCCCCTTCTTGGGAACTGAGGGAGAGAGGGTGCTTCAAGAGCTGTCTGACTTCTGAGGGCGGTGTCCCTGTAACCTAACGGCCTTCACTGCGTTTTCAAAGGTTGGACCACGTCCTGTAGCCCCGCCTCCCACGTGTCCAGTTTGCTGCTATCATGTGCAGCCTTGAGAAAATAGCATCAAAGGGTGCATTGCCAAGGCTAGCAAGGGTAGCAGGGATAGAAGCTGTTCTGGGGACCAAGCTCTCAACACAGGAGTCTTTGCGGGACGAACCACATTCAAACCAAAGCAGCACAGTTTCTGAATCCTCATTAGCAGTCAAAAGGGAGAATGACATGTCACAGGATTATGAAGTGTGTTTTGCAGAGTCATTGTGACTTTTTTTTTGTTGTCTGGACGGGGATATTATGGCTCTAATTTTAGTGTTCTTTTTTAAAATAGCAGAGCTTTTGGCTTTACATCACAACTTGTGTTTGGCAGTGCTTTTAGACACCCTCACAGTTGTGAAGGGCAAAAAAAAAAGTACTTTTTAAGGAAAAGGGTGATGTGTGTAAGTATTTCTTCAAAACACCCCCATCTCCATGGATTCCTAAACGTTGCAGTGAGGTGCTATGCTTCCCAAGGTAGTAAAAACTGGAGATCATGGAGCAGAGCAAAACGAAATAAAAAAAAAATCAAAACAAGGAGTTTACTCTCTTATATGTAAGGCAGCTGACATGCCATAGATCGTAAGTGGATGTAAATCTTTAGTGTTGTAATTTCATGAGAGGATGGGTAAGGAAAAAAAAAACCTCTGTGGGCAAAAGGAAGTCGGGTTGTGAAGCACACATTGCATGTGAATCATTACCTCTCAGCACTTCCAGCATCCGAGCTGGAACTAGAGTTAATTGTCCTCCTCCGGGGATGTCATTTGAATGTAAAATGTTACATGCTACCATTGGGTCACATGGTAAATAGTAATTCTTTTTATTCTTTCCTCTCTGGGGAATTTATTGTGGTAAGTCATGAGAACAGTACTTTAAAATACAATGGAAAAGGTTAGGAGTGGTAATAGCTTTTGGCCCTGGCAATTAAATATCCGAAAGACACCTGGCATTCACAGCAGCCTTAGCTGAGCGCTCTGTAAGAAGTAGGGCCTGGGTGTGGGTCAAGTCTAAAAGCTTAGGTTTAGTCTGCGTTTGTTGACAATGCACATACTTGGGATTTTAAAGAATGAACATTGTAAGTCTAAAATAAGTCCTCCTGTGTCACTTAAATTTGAATGATTTGTCCTGACTTTAGGGGATTTTGAAGTCCAAGAGGAGAGCAAAGGCAGATGGCCACCTGGAAAGTAAACCTTCCCCTGACTTCATCCGGGACCCTGGACCTCCTCAGCCTTCTCCCTCCTTTATCGGGGCTCTGGGAACTGCTCTGTGAACTGAAGGAAGGCCTGAGGTGTTTCACTGACAGCTTTTCTAATGTGGTGACCATGATTACTCACCTCATTTAATGCTTTTCCTTCTTCTTCAGCAAATGCAGACATTTTGAAGGCCATGGTAGCTGACAACAGCATCGGCGATGTTGAAAGGTGAGTGTGTCTCTTCCTATGTTCAGGTTGATGTTGAAAGGTGAGTGTGTCTCTTCCTATGTTCAGGTTGATGTTGAAAGGTGAGTGTGTCTCTTCCTATGTTCAGGTTGATGTTGAAAGGTGAGTGTGTCTCTTCCTGTGTTCAGGTTGATGTTGAAAGGTGAGTGTGTCTCTTCCTATGTTCAGGTTGATGTTGAAAGGTGAGTGTGTCTCTTCCTGTGTTCAGGTTGATGTTGAAAGGTGAGTGTCTCTCTTCCTATGTTCAGGTTGATGTTGAAAGGTGAGTGTGTCTCTTCCTATGTTCAGGTTGATGTTGAAAGGTGAGTGTCTCTTCCTATGTTCAGGTTGATGTTGAAAGGTGAGTGTGTCTCTTCCTATGTTCAGGTTGATGTTGAAAGGTGAGTGTGTCTCTTCCTATGTTCAGGTTGATGTTGAAAGGTGAGTGTGTCTCTTCCTATGTTCAGGTTGATGTTGAAAGGTGAGTGTGTCTCTTCCTATGTTCAGGTTGAAGTTGAAAGGTGAGTGTCTCTTCCTATGTTCAGGTTGATGTTGAAAGGTGAGTGTGTCTCTTCCTATGTTCAGGTTGATGTTGAAAGGTGAGTGTGTCTCTTCCTATGTTCAGGTTGATGTTGAAAGGTGAGTGTGTCTCTTCCTATGTTCAGGTTGAAGTTGAAAGGTGAGTGTGTCTCTTCCTATGTTCAGGTTGATGTTGAAAGGTGAGTGCCTCTCTTCCTATGTTCAGGTTGATGTTGAAAGTTGAGTGTCTCTTCCTATGTTCAGGTTGATGTTGAAAGGTGAGTGTCTCTTCCTGTGTTCAGGTTGATGTTGAAAGGTGAGTGTCTCTTCCTATGTTCAGGTTGATGTTGAAAGGTGAGTGCCTCTCTTCCTATGTTCAGGTTGATGTTGAAAGGTGAGTGTGTCTCTTCCTATGTTCAGGTTGATGTTGAAAGGTGAGTGTGTCTCTTCCTATGTTCAGGTTGAAGTTGAAAGGTGAGTGTGCCTCTTCCTGTGTTGATGCCGCTGGTATTCTGCTCAGCTAGGGCTGGCCTCTAGTTTTGGGTGCTACTGACATTTGAGGTCAGACAAGTCTTTGCTGAGAGTAATGACTGGATTGTTGAACAGAGTCCTTCATCTCTGCTCTAGTGTGTAGTGACCGCCTGTTGACGGGCAAGTTAACCGAGCCTTCTGAGCTCCACTGCAAACCACTGTGCCAATTTCACTGAATTATTACCAGGAATACAGAGCACTTCCGGTCCTGAAAGGCCTTTATGAACAACAATAGCTAAATGATAACCTGGTCAGTTTAGAATACCTGCTACTATTCAAAAACAGTATAACATACTGGTTATAGGTTATAGTTGTTGACTACCAGATTCAATTGTAATTACCTATAGATAGTATGTATCTAGCCAGATCTCCATTTCATTAATCAGGAGCATTGATTGGGTGCAGGATATGGTGTGGCATAGAGCAGGACAGTCATAGATCTTTGCTCTAAAGGGATTCAGCCTGTGGGACATAGAGATGGTTGTGTAAAGCCTTATGAGAGGTACAGGATGGAGTTGGGGATTCTGGGGACCAGAAGAAGGTCAATAAGAAAGAAGTACCATTTGCGCCTGTGTTCCAAGCAGGTGCTGCTGTAGACAGGTCCTGTAGACAATCTATCTGGGAATGGCTGTTGGGGTGGCCAGAGAATATGCAGGAAGTGGCAGGATGTTGGATGGTTGGAGTGGCATGACTTGCTTTTTGTGTGGCCCCTGCAAAGTGCACCTGACACCTCTTTAATGTCAATGTGTTTGTCAGGTAGGTTGTGGTGGATTAGAGGGGTCGTGTAGAACGCTGGGCTGTATACTCAGGAAGCTCTGGAGGTGCAGCTTAGGACGTAGAGACCCTTATTTCCTGAGCAGATAGTTGGTGTTCAGTACATATTAGCTCCAAGGAGCCTGGACTCCATTGACTTTGGGTCTGTTATTGGACTTTGTATTCACTGGTATTTGGTAAATACTTGTTCAGCAAACACACGCTAACATTGGTCTTCCATGTAGGTCCTACTGTGTGTTTGTATTTGGACATCTTTAAGGGCATTGCTAAAGAGCACTTGGCAGCTTCTAGTTGTGCGGATGACTTTGACTCCCCTCAGTGTGGCCTGGACTGCATTTGAAGTATGCTAGTCCCCTGGCTGCCAGCAGCCCAGAGGCTGGTTCCTGCCAGCCATCTGTGTGACTTTTGGTATTTGGTACTGGTCTCAGGTGTGGCACAGGGCTGATTCCTGGTCAGTCTGGCCCTATCCTGTTTGGATCCCTCCTTTTCTAGCATAGACTTAGTTTCTTCTGAATGTAAGTGATGTCTTCGTCTATCTTAGCTAGCCTGGCCAAGGTTACCCAGCTGGTCACCATTGTCTTTGAAGCAGTGTCTTTTGCTGTGGGCATGAGTGTGGGGGTTCGGCAGTTTGACTTTCTAGGTTTGGATCTCAAAACCACTTAGGTGCAATTTATTATACTAGCAAGATATACTAAGCACATTTGGCCTTCTTTGGGCCCCATGGTCCTCATTTTTATGATGAGGAAATTAATGTATACACCATACAGTTCTATGAGTTTTTATTAAGTTAACACATAAGACAGTTTTAAGAGACAATTGGCTGCTCTTCTTATCGTCAACCACATCAGCTTCTATTTTGAGTACCACTTTCTATGTCTTAGCCTGAAAGTTTTTCCTCTGATGTAATAGACAGATTGGATGTTATATTCTGACGATCTTAAGTCTTGTGACATTTGTGGGTTTTTCCCCCATGGCACATTTGGGGTGTCTTGCTTGGTGTCCCAGGCAGATAATTGGCTGCGTGTGAGAAGTCTGTGGTTGCATGGGAAGGAGGATGGGAGTTTTGGAAAAGAATCTAATATTGTGAGGTCAAATCGTGTGCCATCCTTGGAGACAGTGGCTTACTCCCCAGCCCACCCGCTTCATTGTTTGGAATGAGCAGTTGTTGAATGAAAGCTGAGTGCTGCTGCCCAGGGCCAGTGCACAAAGTCCATCAGGACAACTGAAGGGTTTGTTTGCTTAAACCTTCCTGCATCTCAGGGAGCAGCTGCCTTCACTGGGATTTCTTCTGAGTAGCCATTTTTACCTTTTTCCTTCTCTGCTTCTTCCCTGCCTTTAGCCCTGTGACCCCAAGCACTCCAGGGAGCCCACCTGTGAGTCCTGGACCCTTGTCACCAGGGGGTACCCCAGGGAAGCATGTCTGTGGCCACCATCTGCACACAGTAGGAGGTGTCGTTGAACAGGATGTGTGCCAACGCTGTAGGCACAAACGATGGCACTTCATAAGACCCACCAACAAGTCCAAAGAAGGCCGGCCACGGCGTCAAGGGGAGGTCACTGTCCTCTCTGTTGGCAGGTAAGGTGTCCTCATGCTGCTAGTGTGGGACCTGGTTGCCATGGTTACGGGTTTATACTTAGCTTTTCATATGAGCATAAGTTCTCATGAGCCTGGCTTCTTAGATGTGCCCTGGTCTGAATCCTGGATGTTTTTGACATATCAGACAGCTGTTGAGAGCTCCTATAGAACATGTATTAAGGCAAGTAATTATTCTTTGTAATTAATAGCCAGAGCCCAGATTGTCAACTGTGTCCGGAACATGTGTTTCTGTTTCTCTTGTGAGAATCTAAAATAGGTGATCAGGTCAGTGTGTGGCTTTTCACACAGTTGTCCAGAGCCCCGGACCCCTTCTACTCATGACTCTGCAGGTTCGTAGACAGAGTTATGGCAGACGTTATAGAGGGTTCTTAGTAGAACAGCCTGATGGTGATATGTATCATTTGACTCTCATGCCACTGGCTCCAGTTGGTCACTTGTCTTCACCAGAGTACCAGGCAGTCAGGACATGTCATGCTGCCACGCATCAGGAATGGAGAAAGACAGATTTGAATCAGAACTTTCCAGTGTTTGCTGCCTTAGATCCACACCAGTCGCAGTAACTGCTTTCTTTGAGGTCACCTCTGCTGTGTCCTGGGGCCTCAGTTCCAAGGCATCATTTCCTTATGACCCACAAGGGATGTGAAGATCCTGCTGTTTGATTGTCATCTTAGTGAGACTTGACATGAGCAGGCTTGCAGGGGACACTCGTGCAGTTTGAGAGCATATACAGGAAGTACATTGCCGAGGAATGTGTCACACTGGAAAAGGTCACCCATGCAGGAGTCAGGCAAGGTAAGTGCTGAGTTTAAATTAGGACAGATCAGAGACAGATCAGAGACGAGTGGCCTGGATTCATTGCATCTACCCTGATCGGGTCCTGGCATCACTACTTGTAGACGGTTATATCACAACGTGCCTCAGGTTCTCCCTGCACAAATCGAGAAGGCACTCGCACCCACCTCTCAGGGCTTCTGTCAGAAGTAAAAATGGTGACTCAGGTAAAGGTTTCAGACTAGTTTGGGACACAGTCATTCAAGGAACACTGGCAGTTTTAGAAATTGTTCTTGTAATTTTAATTTGATCAGGTCTTTTCCTGTGTTACAGTAACTTCAGGGCTGCGGGCTGTTTGCCACTCACTGTAGAGCAGTATAGCTCATGACCTGACTTAATAACAGCCTGCCTTTATTTAAGAGAAGGGGTCACAGGCATTGATGCATGTAGGGACTGTCATGGGCATTGATGATGACAGGTACAAGAGCCTGACGCCATTTGGACAAAACACGTTCTGTTTTCTCTTTGAAAATGTGCTGAAAATTCTCAGCTCAGGTCCATTCTGCATTTTCCAGGACTTAGAATCACCCCTCTCCTAGCTGTTGGACGTGATGGGTATTTAATCAATACAGGCTGGTCTTCAGAGTTTGCTTAAGCCTCTTGCAGTTTGACACGACAGAGTCTCTACTTCCTAGATGCCTCCTCCTAGATGCCTCCTCCTCGTGGTTGGTGACCTCCTTTCAGACAAAGGAGGACATTTTTATTTTATATCGTTTAAAGGAGATTCGGACCATAACTATATAAATGTTGTTATTGAAGATGGATTTGATGATGCTGTTCCCGAAGAGCAGAAAGTAGACTGCCTTAATGTTTCTCAATGAAATTCTCTTCTGTAACTTGTTAATTTTTTTCTTTACTCTCGAGTGAAAATTAACTAAATTTGGCTTTGAAAAGCAGAAACAATTTAGAGTGGTGAAGCCACCACCGGCTCCTCTGCCTGGCAGGTGTGTATTTGCCCGAGGTGGTTATGCTGTGACCATCTTGGTTATGTCTGTCTGCGTTGTAAACTGCTTTTTCTGTCCCCCAGGGTTTTGTGGTTAATGCCCATGTCACCGTTGGAAACCACAGCTCTCCGGCTAAGTGTTTTCTAATGTGCTTTCCATGCTCTGTAAGCCAACTATCAGAGATGGTTGCACAGGGGTCTGCCGGGGCATGCACCCCTCTTGTCCCGCAGGTGTTTTCTTGCCGTTCTCCCTTTAGGCTGAGTTTGTTTGGTGTCCTCCAGGAAGTGATTTTTTTTTAAAAATTTGCTTATAGTCTTTGCTTACTGGAAAAGCAAAGCTCAACACATCTCTCCTTTTCCCTCCTCAGGTTTAGGGTTACAAAAGTGGAACACAAGTCCAACCAGAAGGAACGGAGAAGTCTGATGTCTGTCGGGGGGACTGAGAGTGTCAACGGGGATGTGCCTGTGACGCCAGTGAAGAGAGACCGAAGTGGCACAGAGTAGCAGGTGAGCTGTGGGTTTGGGGACTGGTTTGGGGACATTGGGGCTGGAGTGTGGGTGAGTAGGGACAAGGTACAAAGAACCCTTCTGTGGTTTGTGGTCACATGAAACCGACATTTGGGAGGGGAATAAGAGGGCTTCCCTGAACGGATATGACTGTGGGGCACCGAGTCCTCAGGATTGCTTGTCTGGATCCCTTTAAAGAGGCTTGCAGCATTGCAGAGTGGTGGAGACTGGACACAGGAATCACACAGCATGCTGGGAGGTGTTCACTTCAGGGCAAGAGGTCCTAGTGTCACTACAGCATCGTTGTATTCAAAGCAGGGTAAAACCTGGAATTTTAGAATGTACAACAAGTAAAGCCTTTGAAGCTGCTTACAAGGAAGCACTTAGGAGACTGAGACAGGAGGATTGTGATTTTGAGACTGGCCAGTGAGACTCTATGTCAAACAAAACAAAACAAAAAAGATACTGAGCTTAGGATATGCGATCTTACTGTGTTTAAGTGTGTTTGAAAAAGACTGGAACAAGCAGGCCAGTGTTTTGAATTGGTGTGTTCTCTCGTTTATTGTATCAAAGCAAATACCCCCCGTTGGAATATTACTCTGCAGTACTCAGTAATAACATTACTCTGAGACCCCGTCTCTCAACTGGGAACATTGCTCATTTCACTGGCTGTTCCGAAGCACTCAGAACTCAAGGTTACTGCTTCTCTTCTTTGTTTTGAAGTTTTAGGAGCTTTAAAATCAGCCGTTTCCCTGTAATGACTTCCTGTTGGCTTAGCTTTCGTCTGATTCCCTCCTTTCTGGCTTGAGGATCATTTGTCGTCTTCATGCTTGTTTTATGTAAAAGGGCAAGGCCTGAACTTCAGGCTGGAAGGGTTGGTGAATATAAAAGTGAGGGCAGATGAGGTCAGGTACCGCCTCGACAGTACAGTGAGCTGGCAGAGTGAGCTGGAGTCCAGGAACGGGCTGACAGGTTCAAATCTCTGCTTACCACTCTAACACCAAGGCTTGGCCAGGCATGGCAGCCTTCTGTGTGTCATTGGAGACATCACTACCTGCCTTGGGGTGACCCTGAGAGGTCCCTAAAGTAGCAGTGAAGCCCTGGGCCTGGTATGTTGGACATGCTGCAGGGCTGCTGGTACCTGAGGTGGAATGGAGGGGATAGAGGGCCTTTGGGTTGAAGCCTCTCCCATAGTGTACAGGTTCAAAGGCCGAAGATATTCCTCTCTAAGGAGTGGACTCTTTAGAACTAGTTTGCGTAGACTTGTGTTGGGAGACATTGGGCCCCTTCTTGCTTCAGGAGCTAAACAGGGACTTTTTGTTTGTTGATTTTGGTTCTTATTTGTATATTTTGCTGTTGTTGTTTTTGAAGCAGAGTCTCTTAACTATATTCATGTTTGCCTGGAACTTACCCTGCAGCCTGGGCTGCCCTTGAACTCACAATAGTCCCTTCTCAGCTTCCTGCTGGGATTATTGGTGTGAGCTACTTGGCTAGGGGACTTCCTTTTTGTTGTTTTTGAGACAGGGTGTCTCTCTGTAGCTTTATAGACCAGGCTGGCTTTGAACTCACAGAAATCCACCTGCCTTTGCCTCCCGAGTGCTGGGATTAAAAGCATGTACCACCATCACCCAGTTGGGACTTTCTTTAAAGAGGAAAAGCAAGGAAAAGAAAGAAAAATTGGCTTCTCAGCTGATAGGAAGCTAGGGAAAGGGTGAATGGCTAGTAACAGGAGTTGGTGTTAACTTGGTAGTCTAGTTTTCTGGACATAGTGCTGATGTCTGCCATGTCATCAGTACAGACATTTCCTAACAGAGTTCTTACCAGATGAGGAACTGGTACATGGGTGGATAAGTCATGTCACTGGAGAGAACACCCAAGCTTTGTACTCAGGTCTCTGACTGTAAGATAGAATGGTGGGCCAGACCAGTCAGCCTAGGGTGCTCCTGAGGAGGAATTCTAGGCCCTGGGCCCTGCCTGAGGACTGTTACTACAGGTCATTCTAGAACTTTGTCTGTTAGGGTAGCTTCTAGTCAGCTGGGCTACTGTCTTAGTTTGGGTTTTCATTGCTGTGAAGAGATACCATGATCGTAGCAACTCTTATAAAGAAAACATTTAATTGAGGTGATAACTTACAGTCCATTATCTTTATGGTGGGGAGCATGGCGGTGTGCAGGCAGATGTGGTGTTATACCTGAGAGTGCTGCTTCTTACAAGCAACAGGAAGTCACATTGAGGGAAACTTGAGCAAAAGAGACTTCAAAAAGCCCCTATATCTTGTTTATACTCTAACAAATAAAACTTTCCTGAAGATCAGAGAGCAGAGCTAGCCACTAATTTATCATAGAGGTCTGGAGGTCTGAACAAGCAGACAGGAAGTGATACGGCTAGGTAGGGAGAGGAATATAGGTAGGAGAAAACAGGAGCCCTGTCCCTTTTCAGCCCGAGGATTTCGTAGAGGTAAGAGTTCTAGTAGCTGCTCTGCCTCTTTGATCTTTCAGCTTTCACCTAATATCTGATTCTGGGTTTTTATTATTAAGACCAGTTAGAACTCGTGCTACACCTGTCCCCACAGTGACACACTTCCTCCAATAAAGCCACAATTCCTAATAGTGCCACTCCCTTTGGGGGGCATTTTCTTTCAAACAGCCACAGTTACAAGTAAATTAATTCAAAATAAACATTTAGATTTTGTGCTAGTCACATTTCAGGTGATCAGTAACCACTAAGGTTGGAGTCTGCCCTGTTAGGAATTGCAGACAGAGGACATGCCCATCATCCAGAAAAGCAGTACTGAACAGAGATGCCTTTGATGTTAGATGTGGACTGCTGAGTGACCTGGATAATCATAGAAGCTGATTAAAGTCACTGTCTGGGAAGGGACACATCTGGTATTGAAGTCTTAAGGTGGTGAAAGCCTAGCAAAAGTATGTGGTCATGTTGACAGTGTGTGTGTGTGTCCCCACCCCCCCCAGCCCGCAGCAGCAACTGACTGCTTAAGAAGCATAGCCCAGTGGCAGGCAGGAACTAACTGCAAGGCCATCCTGACGCCATACTTCACCCTGGTTTCAGCCACACCAATATTTAGAAAGGTTAAAGGAATTGAGCTTGTTCAGCTGACTTTTGTGGTTTACATTCTATCTGTATCACACTTGAGGAAATTGATCTCATTACCCAAATCCTGACCACAGGTAACAGATCTAGAATTTGATATTCTCTACAATGCACACTGACATCTACCAGGATTATGTAATTGGATTTCACCAGAAGGCTCATATCTCATCCTGAGTCCATTTGGAAATAAGTAATTCTTACTGCCCACACCTCCTTTTTATATGAAATAAAGATATTAGTGCATTGATTCAAGGCAAGTGCCAAGAGAGTGTCTGGGGTGAAACTGACTCTTTCTTGGTGGAGGGTGGCCATACTGTGGTGCGCTCTCCAAATCGGTGTGATTCGCCTAGTGGTTTTAAGAAGGGAACATATCCTCTGAGACTCCAACTCACTGTAGTTAACTTTGAAATTAAAAGAAAAAGGTTTTATTGTGGACGTTAAAATTCAAAAACAGAGAGAATAATAATAGAGTATTTATAATCTGTGGAATCAATTGGGTACCTCACTTTACAGGTGAGGTTCCTCAGCACACAGTTAAAATAACTTGTTTGGAATTGGTGAAGTTTAGGGTGGAACCCAAGTAGCCTGGCTTCAGTTATCACAGACGTCAGCGTGGTCCAAGAAAAATAGGTCTTAGGTGTGTCCATGCTGAATTATGCAGAGTATGGACCATGTAAAAAAAGGAAGCAATAGTTATTGGTATTTAAAATACTAGATATTTGTTAAAATTTTCTTACAAATTTCCCTATGTTTCTGAAGAAGGTATGCTTGGGACAGTTAATTGGACTTGACTTTCGGCTAAGAAAACCTGGAATTTTTCATCTGGGCTAGAATCTCTGGGTCTAGACGGAATGAGAGGATCTGATGTAGAATGTAGCAAAGGCTGGGTATGATGATGCACGAATATCCTTATCCCAGTCCTCTGGAGGCAGAGGCAGGCAGGTCTCTGTGAGTTGGGAACCTTCTCGGTCTGCCAGGGCTACTCAGTGAGACCCTGTCTCGAGGGAGAAAACAGCTTATAAAGTAGTAAAAGTGGACCTGTTTTTATATAGTTGATTTAAGTCTTTGATGGTGTATTTTTTTTCCTTAAGGTGTTTTGTTTAAATTGGAGTTTCCAAGTTGTTTTACTAAATTACCTTAATTTACCATACATTCACTTACTAGGGTTCTTCCTCCCTGCTCTCATCCACACCCCCTTTCTTGTCTTTAACAGAATCTGTGCTTGGTGAAGTCAGTTTCCCATGGCCGCAGATTCTGCATTGTTGCATTCATCCGGTATCCCACTGGGAATTTTTCTTGAAGTCCTTTGTCTGTACTGCACGTGTTCACCTGTTTGCCCGTGCCATGATCCCTTAGACAATGCAGAACGATAACTATTTACATATATTTGCTTGCATTTGGTATTGTAAGTAGTCCAGAGATGGTTTAGAATTTACAGGAGGAGGTGTGCAAATGCTGTAGCTTCTTCTACAGAGGACTGGACTCCCACAGCCCTTGGTGTCCATGGAGGTCCTTGAGCTGACTCTGGTAGCTGCTGACGGACCACTGCGTGTTTTAGATGGAGCAGGATTTCTCTTTCCCTCTCTCCTTCCCTCTTTTAAAAACAGAGTCTGTTTGTCTTCTCCTGCTGCTTATCCCCCTCCCTGCCCCTGTGGCTTGAACTCCTTTTTGTAGCCCATTCTGACTTACATTCTGCCTGGTTTATTTTGGCAATGCTGTCAAAATGGTTTCTCCCCCGGCCCCCCACAGAAAATGTGTTTTGCTTTTTTTTCTCTTAGAAGAATAAGCTTTTGTTCTTCAAAGTTAAATAAATCGAATTGCTTTCAGTCTCCAGATGCCACAGCCTTGTCTTCATTGTCACTGGTCTCTGACTTTTTGTAAAAATGATG